TATATAATTTTTTTTTTCAAACAAGCTTCATTCAATTTTTAATTGGAAATCTTTTGGAAAAACATTCATAGAAAGACTTTGTGTATTCTTTATTTATATACCATCCGAGTTGTAGTTATATTGAAATATTACCTTTTTATTTTGTTTTAGGGTTGAAGAAATATTAGATGAATATATGGCAGAAAAAATAAAGCCTCCTGTAGGACTGGGTAAAAAGTCCACGCTCTGCTGGAACAAGATCAGAAGAAATATTTCACTGATTATCAGTATGAATGATAATTCAGAAATAACGGTGTTGTAAGCCAGAAAGAATTTGACAAGTTTTGTAGATCATATTTATATAACGTGCTCATTTACAGAAATGGAAGGACAGGAAATAGTGCCATTGACTGGACATTGCAATCAACAATTCTATCATTTTCTGACTTGTTGTATAAAATGTTCAGATGAAATAGGATTAATTTGCTATGCACATCTTTGCCTTCCTTATCTATCTGTCTTACATAATGATTGCGGTATTATATTACAGAAACAAGATTCTGCCAATATTGCTCTGTATGAAGAGAATGGAGATTTCCTCCTAAAATGAGATAAATGTGGAGTTTAAATAGAAAATGTAATACCATATTTTCCTGTGCAAAAATATTGTAATAAAGTGTAGAATGTAATTATTGAGCCTATCGTACCTTGGTATTCATATCTAGTGGATGATTCCAGACATGATTTACCTTGCAAAACCGGCAGATGGAACCATCACAGGTTTGGAAATGGAAGAGGCTGGTCTTTGAACATTAGTGACCTTGTTGAGGATGACTTTGTTGGAAAAATCGGGAGTACTTTGACATGGCATTTTGATTTTTGCTTGTTTTTTTTTTTTCTAATAGCTTTGCATATGCAACTCGGATATGCTGTATGTACCTCTATGCTTTTAATAATTAAAATGTCTTTCCATTGTTTTTTTTTTTTTAATGAGTCCATTAATTGCTCCAGTGTTTTGTCATTCAATAATCAAACACCACAAAGTGGAACGAATTGCCTTAAATGTATTTGCCATAACCTCCCAGGTGTCCTCAGTGCTTGGAAACAGGTTTAATCTTGTCCAGGTTCTTCATCTGGGCTGCCCTGTCAGTGTATGAGCTGTTTGCAGTGGCACATACATTAATCACCTCAAGGCTAGATGACTGCAATGTACTCAGTGTTGGGATGATCCTCTAACTCATTTGCAGGCTGCAGCCAGTGCTGAATGCAGAAATGAGACTCCTGCTCCGAAGAGAATTAATCAACAAGAGTCGTTCGCTAGCACAAAGAAAACGTGGGACTGCTGGCTGCTTCGTTTAGGAATGTATATTGATTTTGTCAGAAATGACATATCCACCCATTTTTGCCCTTCATCCCTTTTATAAGGTTGCCATCGGCTGTACTTGTTTTAAGTCTCTTTACCAGATGAAAGTCTTGTATGTTGAGGTCATCAGATTAGATCTTGCTTATTTGAAAAGGACACCTCTTCTCTTAATCTTCCAAGTAACTGGCATTCGTGCTAGTCTGGGCATATATCATCTATCAGGATAGTGTTGCTGGGCAGACACAGATGCCCACCAATGCTCCCATGGTTTAGTGATTTTTTATATACTGTATGTATACATTTTAATTGTTTGAAATCCTTTATTACTTATATTAAAGATGAAGTGCACTTTAAAACCAAGTGCACTTATCCTTTAAGTTCCATTAAGGTGACATCCTCTGCACAGTTACATATTTACTGAGGTCCAAAGGGTCCGGGCTCTGTTGTTGGTTTACATCCTGCAGTGCACCTCTCCTCCACGAGGCCACGCCTCTGCAGTACATGCCAATTGACTTATATGTGGCTGGTCTTCCCGTCAGAGGGGATGTATTGTGCATGTACGGCCAGGAGAGAAAGACGTCTGTCACAGGATGTAAACAGACAACACAGGCCGAGACCCTTGAAACTCATTATGTGTACATCAGTGCAGGGAAAGGGAAGGCTCAGTGAGGTCATCTTCAAGGGGCCAAAAGGACAAGTGTGCTTTGTTTTACAGTGAACTTATCCATTAATATAAGTAGTAAAGTACACTTATAAAAACTAACTCTGAAAACTGTGCCCAAGAAAAGGCAGACAGAGAGCATACACCAATTATACATTATTGCTTGTGGTCTCCATGCAGCTAATCTTTCTTCATTACTGACTAACCATGCATTGTTCTGCACTGTGCCTCTCTGTGGAGGTGGCCATCTTGGTTGAGGCATGGTTTTGCTTCTTCATATCAGAGCTTCCAGCAAGGAGAACAGTAGTAAGAACAGTAATAACATTACCAGATTTCACTCCAAATCTAGTAAGGCTAGCAATCAGACACAGCAGTGACTTAGGTGATCTAACACTGCAGATATACAGGCTACAGGACAGGAGTCTCTCCTAGGCACTCTTACACAACAATTTTTCAGGAGGAATTTAAGACAAAAGGTACATTTTCAGCATACCGTTTGAGCACAATTCACATTTCAAAACATTTTCCATAACAAAGCAATTTTTCATGTCTTGAGCTTATTTACACTTTAAAACTAAATATATCTAAAGCCATCCTTAATATGAGCTATTATCAGGTATTGAATCAAGTTGTTGAAAACATCAGCACATACTTAACCCTGGAAGGACAAATCTGTTGCAGACTGTACTGCACTAGGTGTTCTAGTCTGCTCGTGTATGGACAACTTCATACAATGTAGGCAGAGACCTTAAAGGAGAATTATGAGGTGAGTGCTTTTCCTCATAATCTGCGCCGACCTGTGACAATGAAACTGTCACAGGTCGGCTCAGTAGATCGGGAAGTGAGCGAACACATACCGGCGTTCGCTCACTTCTCGATCCTGTCATTGCAGAGTTGTTTGCAGTGGCACATACATTAATCACCTCAAGGCTAGATGACTGCAATGTACTCAGTGTTGGGATGATCCTCTAACTCATTTGCAGGCTGCAGCCAGTGCTGAATGCAGAAATGAGACTCCTGCTCCGAAGAGAATTAATCAACAAGAGTCGTTCGCTAGCACAAAGAAAACGTGGGACTGCTGGCTGCTTCGTTTAGGAATGTATATTGATTTTGTCAGAAATGACATATCCACCCATTTTTGCCCTTCATCCCTTTTATAAGGTTGCCATCGGCTGTACTTGTTTTAAGTCTCTTTACCAGATGAAAGTCTTGTATGTTGAGGTCATCAGATTAGATCTTGCTTATTTGAAAAGGACACCTCTTCTCTTAATCTTCCAAGTAACTGGCATTCGTGCTAGTCTGGGCATATATCATCTATCAGGATAGTGTTGCTGGGCAGACACAGATGCCCACCAATGCTCCCATGGTTTAGTGATTTTTTATATACTGTATGTATACATTTTAATTGTTTGAAATCCTTTATTACTTATATTAAAGATGAAGTGCACTTTAAAACCAAGTGCACTTATCCTTTAAGTTCCATTAAGGTGACATCCTCTGCACAGTTACATATTTACTGAGGTCCAAAGGGTCCGGGCTCTGTTGTTGGTTTACATCCTGCAGTGCACCTCTCCTCCACGAGGCCACGCCTCTGCAGTACATGCCAATTGACTTATATGTGGCTGGTCTTCCCGTCAGAGGGGATGTATTGTGCATGTACGGCCAGGAGAGAAAGACGTCTGTCACAGGATGTAAACAGACAACACAGGCCGAGACCCTTGAAACTCATTATGTGTACATCAGTGCAGGGAAAGGGAAGGCTCAGTGAGGTCATCTTCAAGGGGCCAAAAGGACAAGTGTGCTTTGTTTTACAGTGAACTTATCCATTAATATAAGTAGTAAAGTACACTTATAAAAACTAACTCTGAAAACTGTGCCCAAGAAAAGGCAGACAGAGAGCATACACCAATTATACATTATTGCTTGTGGTCTCCATGCAGCTAATCTTTCTTCATTACTGACTAACCATGCATTGTTCTGCACTGTGCCTCTCTGTGGAGGTGGCCATCTTGGTTGAGGCATGGTTTTGCTTCTTCATATCAGAGCTTCCAGCAAGGAGAACAGTAGTAAGAACAGTAATAACATTACCAGATTTCACTCCAAATCTAGTAAGGCTAGCAATCAGACACAGCAGTGACTTAGGTGATCTAACACTGCAGATATACAGGCTACAGGACAGGAGTCTCTCCTAGGCACTCTTACACAACAATTTTTCAGGAGGAATTTAAGACAAAAGGTACATTTTCAGCATACCGTTTGAGCACAATTCACATTTCAAAACATTTTCCATAACAAAGCAATTTTTCATGTCTTGAGCTTATTTACACTTTAAAACTAAATATATCTAAAGCCATCCTTAATATGAGCTATTATCAGGTATTGAATCAAGTTGTTGAAAACATCAGCACATACTTAACCCTGGAAGGACAAATCTGTTGCAGACTGTACTGCACTAGGTGTTCTAGTCTGCTCGTGTATGGACAACTTCATACAATGTAGGCAGAGACCTTAAAGGAGAATTATGAGGTGAGTGCTTTTCCTCATAATCTGCGCCGACCTGTGACAATGAAACTGTCACAGGTCGGCTCAGTAGATCGGGAAGTGAGCGAACACATACCGGCGTTCGCTCACTTCTCGATCCTGTCATTGCAGAGAGCTGTGACAGGGGAGTGACTGGATTGTCCCCTCCCCTGTCCGTTCCTCCAGCGCTGACTGGCGGAACGGACAGGGGAGGGGGTGGGTACAGCTGGCTCTGCCTTTAGATAGGCAGAGCCAGCTGTCACTCACGCAGCTGGGCGGATCCAGACATAATTGTCGGGATCTGTTTCAGCTGCGGCGTCTCAGTATACCACGAGCTGTAGCTCGCGGTATACTGAGCTTTGGGTAACGGGAGGACGCTAGTTTGTGTCCTCCCGTTACTCTTTGGAGAACTATGGGGAATAGCCCTAACCCCTTAGTTCTCCTTTAAGGTCCAAGCTATGCTAAATCCAAGTTTAGCATACTCATCTACAATTCTGTGTCTAAAACCAGTATGGATATGAAAGATTCATAGTATATGGATGTTAGCAACTAATACAATGTGCTGACGATAAGCATTTTACTGCATTCTGGAGCCAACAGAGACATTTTGAAAGAAAGATGCAGATCTCGATATCTAGCCCATATGCACTGCAGTAGCAACTCCCCACCCACATGCACTCTACCTCCTTCTCACCTCTGCTCACTCCAAAAAGTTTGTATTTTTGCCATCTTCAATCATGCATCCATCTTTTACACTTACCTCACTTCGTCTCATAATGAGTAGACCAACATTCTATAAGTTGACTTATTGCATTTATTTTTATAAAAAAATAGAATGTGCTTAGCACCTTGAGAAAATACATTTCTTCTTGTTACCATTGAAATCTACTTTGTCTGAAGAACAGATGTCAGGCACCTATGCAGTCAAATGGTTACAAAATTGTGCACTTGCTTGAAAAGAAATGGCTTTCTTCTGTTACTGACCAATCCTCTGACAGCTTAGGAATTCCGTCTAATGTTTTCAAGTTTGGCAAAATCGAGAAGACACTGGAAAAGTAAAGAAAATATATTTAAAACACATAAGATCTTTCCCCCATGTCATGCAAGGCAAATGTTCATGGTTCCTCAACAGCTAGAGAGCTAATCATCACCCGGTGCTGCCTGAAGGTACAAAACAAAGGAGCTATACAAATTTCACTTATTATTTAGGTTTTTTTAAACTCATTTCTCATATCTATTTTTTACAACCTATAGTTTACCTTGGGGCTACTGGAGCACCAGCTCCTGGCCCACCACTGAAAATAGGCCACCTAACATTCCTGAATAGAGAGCTGCCGGTGCCTCTGCCTGATTGTGTTCAGCCTAGCCAGCCCAGATTGCCTTTAGGCATACTGAGGTGATTCGGGCCGGCACAGGCTCTCTATTCAGGCTTGCTGGGGACTCGCAGGGCCTCAGCAAGCAGCCGCCTTATTTGGGAGCTGCCTCTGCTGCTTCCTGTCTGACTGACCGACAGTACAGTTTCACCACAACTGGAGGGCCAGAGTTTGCCTACCATTGCTCAATGGTATTCCCCTTTGCTTCATTCCTGGCAGCTGCATAAAAGGATATGTAGGGATGTGAACGGAGGGAAGGAAGGAAGAGCATGGACAACACAGATAGTAATTAGACACTCAAAAGCACATTCCCAGTGAAAAAAGAATTGATGAAAAGGAAAAACACTGCAAATAACAATTTAAAATACTTAATTTAAAGGAGAACTATGAGGCGAGTGAAAATCACTCAGCCTCATAGTTCGAGCCGACGTGTGACAATGAAACTGTCACACTTCGGCTCAATAGATTGGGAAGTGAGCGAACGCATACCGTCGCTCGCTCACTTCTCGATCCCGTCCCTGCAGAGAGCCGTGACTGTCACTCACGGCTCCCTGCAGGGATTCCTCCCATGTCCGATCCTCCAGCGCTGACTGGCGGAACAGACGGGGGACGGGGCGGGTACAGGTGGCTCTGCCTCTAGATAGGCAGAGCCAGCTGTCAATCACGCAGCTGGGTGTATCTCGACAGTAATGTCGGGATCCGTCCCCGCTGCGGCGTCTCAGTATACCGCGAGCTGTAGCTCACGGTATACTGAGCTTTGGGTCAAGGGAGGACGCTAGTTTGTGTCCTCCGGTGACCCTTAGGAGAACTCTGGGGAAAAACACTTACCCCATAGTTCTCCTTTAATGTCATTTTAATTTAATTTACATTTTGCATTTACCTGCAGTTTGTTAAGTTGATGACAGGGTCTCTTTAATAACATCCGCTTTTTATACTTAAAGTCCAACTGTATCTTAGCCATCTTGTCTCACAGTGTTGGCCCTTCCTTTCCCAGGCCTGCTGTGTATAGGATCACAGGAATCTAATACTTAAGTGAATGTAGTAGCGGTGTGTTTTTTCTGCCTGGGCATTAACTGTAAGTTTGTGTCTGTGCTGCTTTTAGTTAAAATGATCACATATATTATCAAGCCGAGGGATGACATTGGAATAGACGGGGGACGGGCCGGGTACAGGTGGCTCTGCCTCTAGATAGGCAGAGCCAGCTGTCAATCACGCAGCTGGGTGTATCTCGACAGTAATGTCGGGATCCGTCCCCGCTGCGGCGTCTCAGTATACCGCGAGCTGTAGCTCACGGTATACTGAGCTTTGGGTCAAGGGAGGACGCTAGTTTGTGTCCTCCGGTGACCCTTAGGAGAACTCTGGGGAAAAACACTTACCCCATAGTTCTCCTTTAATGTCATTTTAATTTAATTTACATTTTGCATTTACCTGCAGTTTGTTAAGTTGATGACAGGGTCTCTTTAATAACATCCGCTTTTTATACTTAAAGTCCAACTGTATCTTAGCCATCTTGTCTCACAGTGTTGGCCCTTCCTTTCCCAGGCCTGCTGTGTATAGGATCACAGGAATCTAATACTTAAGTGAATGTAGTAGCGGTGTGTTTTTTCTGCCTGGGCATTAACTGTAAGTTTGTGTCTGTGCTGCTTTTAGTTAAAATGATCACATATATTATCAAGCCGAGGGATGACATTGGAACAATGCAATACATAAAAACTGATGAATACATAATATTATATATTATAATAATAATATAACACATAACAATAATGCTACCATTCGTAACCAGTGGTTTTATGTGATGTGTACATAATGAAGCAGAAGTTAATTGCTACTTACCGTTGTCTATAATCTTCCAGAAACTCACAAGGATTTGATTTCAGAACCAGTGATTCGAGTGGAGAATGCTTGAAGTCTGTAAGTCCACCCAATGATTCAATATTATTTTCTGCAAGTGATAAGTGCTGAATTGCAGGAAGCTTTGGCAGTTGTTGAAAGGCTGTAAAGTGATTTTTGCTTAAATTTAATTCTTTACACCTGCAAGGAGCAAAAGCAGCCACCAGTTACATACAGTTACCGTAGTATAAATATACTGTGTGTATAAGTCCACTTAGTAGAATGCATTTTAGGACTTTTTTGCTCACTTTTCTTCATCCAAACATCAAAGTAACACATTGTTCTGCATAACAAAGAACACAAATGTATTTCAGCCTCCTGGCTATTTTGTTGCACAGCTCTGTCTATTAGGGCTTGTTCACGCCACACCAAGGAGCAGATGCAGAGCAGAGCAGTTACGGAACGGATCAAAACTGCGTCTAATGTATTCCAATGGTATTTTGGGCGCTAGTTCACGCCAGAGCGTTCAGTTCCAAAGCATGTAAAAAAAACGCAGCATGCCCTATTTTTTCTGCTCTGGAACAAACCAAAATGCATGCAAACACATCAAAAACACATGCAAACTCCCTGAAACGCACTGAAAGCCCATTTTTAAAAAAAGGGCCCAGAACAGGGCAAAACGCGGCAAAAACCGGGCAAAACACACTGCATGTGCAGAAACTCATGCAGATCTGGTCCAGGTTTGGTGTGAACAAGCCCTTACTCCTTAGGAGAGATCTGCCCCAGTCTCAGCCTCTCTGCTTAATATGGACCCTTCAGCCACCAGAATTAACCAGACCGGACCAGGCTGGACCTACTGTCTGCTCAAACACGTGTTGGTTATGTGTTTAGATGAAGCACTAAGATCCTGGTTAATGTTGAATTAAGTTTTACTTGCTTAGAAGAATATTAAATCTGAATACAGTATTGTGAAGGAAACATATATATCGGAAAACTTCCTGTGTATCATAAATAAGCATGCATATAGAAAGTAGCATTGCACTACAGTGCCATCTACAGCTCAAAACACATATCAGTACATTAGAATATGCTGTTGCATTTCCAACAACACGTACTGCTTCTTGCTCTGTTCTGACGCTGACTACCTCTGTCTCTTCACAATCTCCAACTCTCAGGCTTAGTGGCCTCCCTGTGTAGGCAAGACAGGCCTGTATATGGGCTCATCGCATGTCAGGCTTCAAGCTGCTCTCCCACCACATAGGAGCAAAGACTGACTAGAGCAGGGGTAGGCAAACTCTGCTCCCCCCAGCTGTAGTGCAACTACAAATACAGTTAGGCACTGCAAGACTCTGACAGTCACAGACTCCCTGTGGCAGATAAATTATAGGATTTGGGTGAAGCTACAAATTCCATCATGCATCTCTCTCTAGGATCAGTGGCGGAACTACCGCCGGTGCAGGCAGTGCGGGCCTGTGGGGGGCCCAGCACAGTTCCAGCGCCGGATCGGTACCCAGCGGGCCCCCCATCTCTGCGCCGAGAGTGTCGGATCATCCGTTCATCCTACACTCCCCGCGCAGAGATGGAGGGCCCGCCGGCCGCCGGATACTAATGGTTGCCATGGCGATAGAATGGTGAGCCCGATCGGGAGCCACGCTGTGTAATATTAGGGTTGCACCGATATATCGGCCGCCAAAAGATATCGGCTGATACAGCAGCGCTTCCGTGCTTTCTTTCCTACCCGCTGGGCGCTGCTCTGTGTCCCAGCGGGGAGGAGAGAAAGTGACAGCCGGCCGAGCACTGCGGGAGCAGAGCGCTGTGTTTGTGTTTTTTTTTTTTTTTTTTTTGGGGGGGGGGGGATCTTGCACCAGGGCCCTTTGTTCCTTAGGTCTGCCACTGTCTAGGATAAATAGTTTCACCGCAGCTGGAGGGCCAGAGTTTGCCTACCCTGGGGCTAGAGAATACTCTCTTTTGTAGGCAACACTCACTTGTCTCCAATCAGTTTCATGCCTGTCCAGGGACCATTCGCCTTCTAAAACAGACGCTCTCTGCATTTTCACACACTTACAGACCATCCTTCATATATTTATCTTGGACATTTTAAAAGTCTTCTGCAAACCCCATGAGAAGCTGACATTAATTGTTTCCCTATTTATCTCCCTTGTGTAATCCATTGTGTTTAGGACTGTCGCCAAGGAGTAATAAATTATTTATATTATGAAAATGTTAACACACAATATTAAAGCTTTGTAAGTTATCTCTATGTCTTCTGTGTATTCTCAGCATGTTCATTAGTTATTTACATTAAAAAATGCAAGCCCCATCAAAAATGGATTCGGTAACATCTTTGGTACTATCCACATTGACAGGAGTGTTTATGGAGTATTGTGTTTCCACTGACATTAATTAAACTCATCCTAGGTATCAGAACAGATTAGGTCACTGGTTGACTAGTCCACATTGCTCAGTAACTGTACTGCAACATGTTGTGTGTTTAATGCCAAAAATAACTGCAAGGAAATTGCATAAATATTTAAAGAAGTTGTAAAAATCAATAAGACTGGATTTATTTTATAAAAACATTGAATATTCATTGCAGATAAAGGTAATGTGGGTTGTTTACCGAAACAGTCATTGTATGCTTGGCAAGGAAACCTGATTGTCTTTTTAACTCAGTTTAAAGGAAATATGTACTGAATACATAGGCTGCAAAAGTTTTCTGAAATCCCTAGCTGCTTTACAGTCTCTGATATAGTACGTTTTGGGTCCCTGACCCAGTTTAATTAAGTCAGAATTCCTGATCTGCATACTTATACCAGGTTAGTGACTTAAAAAATATAATTCATATGACAACCTGTCAGAGTTTCTTACCCTTCCTTGTCCTGTTGAGCTGCAGTCTGTCTTCTGTGTGTCTGACACTGTTTGTTCCTCTTTGGTGCCTTCTTATGACCAAACCCATAAACATCATCTTCTGCAACTACTGACAAACTTCTGGCAACTTCCTGTCTCAGAGTGATGATGCAAAACCGGTATACTATTTAACCAGCAGCTTGGCCATTTAGTATCCACCAATACGTGTGTCCAGATCTATCAAGTGCTCTGCAGTTGTTCCTATTCTCCGTGTATGACTCTGGCTTTGGCTGACTGATCTCCTAGGTCCTGATTCCGGCTATTGTTTCGGTTCATCCTGCTCTCAGTGTTCCCTGGCTTTGTTTGGCGTGCTAGCCGCTTTGGCATCTGACCTCTGGCTTGGCACCAGCGACATTCTGGACTTTCTTCATTGTTTTTTGCCATTTTGTTTATTGTTATTTTCAATAAACTTCTTTTATTTTTAACCTGCACTTTAAAAGATAACTATGGGGTGTGTTTTTCCCCATCGTTCTCTTTAGAGTCACGGGAGGACATATACTAACCTCCTCCCGTGACCCAAAGCTCAGTATACAGCAGGCTATTGCCCGCAATATACTGAGAGCGCCGCAGCGGGGACGGATCCCGACAATACTGCCGAGAGCCACCCAGCTGTGTGAGTGACGGCTGGCTCTGCCTATCTAGAGGCAGAGCCAGCTGTGTCCGCCCCCTCCCCATTTGTTCCTCCACTCAGCACTGGAGGATCGGAGAGGGGAGGAGGGAATCTCTGACTGACAGACACCGTTCACTGCAGGGAGACGATCGGGAAGTGGCAATTGGTGCATGTTTCTGCTTTCTTCCTGATCGATAGAGCCGACCTGTGACAGCTTCTTTGTCATAGGTTGGCACTTACTAGGAGGATGAGTGGAAATCACTCACCTCATTGTTCTCCTGTAAGTTTCTCGGTTCGCTGACACAACCAGCAGTTAGCATTGTCAGAAGTAAAGCAATGGAAGCCGTTTTCCTTAAAGGCCAAATGTCCAAAGGAAAAAAGTGACTTGCAGCAGTTCACAAAGGATAAAGTGGTCTGCAATGGTGCATTAGGTAAGTCTGACTTCCAGTTAAACCAGAACTTAGGCACATAATGATAAACCTTTTCTGTCAGCAGTTTTGCCATTCAGATTTGAATCTGATTCAGAATTTTTGTAATTTTAAAAAAAGAGCCACAACCCAAAAATGCCAGTCTGATATTCTAATAGTAAGAGGGTTGTAAGCATTTAAATCCACTATCATCTATTTCAGTCGTCGCCAAATGGCGGATGGCAGTCAGGACACGGACCCGAGTAGCGGTTCTTTCTGGACCGTGATTACCAACCTGCGCTGGGTAATGGCTGGTTGACAGTGGACACACAGGCCTCCAAGGCCAGTGTTTCCACTGCCAGCCATAACCCAGCACAGCCCCCCCCCCCTCTGCTTCAGTCATTGGCTGCTAGGACAGCTGGCTTCCTAGCAACCAATGATATCAGGCAGGCAGGGCCCGCTGCTGCAATTACAAGTGTTCTGGGTGGCTGTACAGTGACCTACATTACTTGTAGTAGCCTGCTATTGTGTGGCCTCCTCCTTCCCTGCACCATCCTGCAGGGAGTTTTCGGGTCCCCAGTCCTCAAGGAGCCCAGGACCATAGCAAACAGTGTCAGGATGAAGAGAAGGAGCAAACCGGCTGAAGTGCCGGGTATGCAGACTATCAAGCACATTCCTGTGCTTGATGATCTGTATTGGAATGGCAGGAGAGATATCAGAGGTCTATTAGACCCCTGATGTCTCCATAAAGAGAATCTGTCACCTCCAAATGCTGTCACATAGGATCTTGTTAACCCCCTTTGTGATAGCAAAAGTTAATTTAAAAAAACATTTTTAAAAGGTGCTAAAATGTGATATAAAATAAAAAAAATAAAAAGGTGATAAAAAAGCAAAAAATAATAAAATTAAAAAAATGTAAACCAACTCTGCTGCCTATAATCACCATCTGATTATAATGAACATGTGTGCGTAAGGCATGCACGTGTACAGTATGGAAATGGAGGATAAAGAAACAGTGGGATGTGCTGGTATCGTTTCTTAAGCACTGTACGATGCAGTGCAGCTGCTGGTGTGACTGCAGCCTAAATGGTGGGCCACGGTATGGACATGAACTGACTGTCCAGATTGCGATTTGGACCTCGGCACGATGAAAAATGTATTCACCGGACATCCTTGAATATTAATTCCGTACCTCTGACCTATGGTAACATGCCTGTTTGTTCTTTGACACTGGGAAGGATTGTCATGGGGAGGGATGAAAAGTGGGGCCAACTTTGTAGAATAGCCAGATGCTGATGTGTACCTGCTTGGGAATTTGGTCACATGACCAACTTTAGATCAGCTATTTCTGCAGCCAGGGGATCTCATAGCTATTGGTTCGAAGGGTAGTCGGGGGTTCTTAGTTCACTACAGTACTTCTTTAAAGAGTCCCTTCAGTGTTTCCAAACCACTTATCACACATCTCTTACATACCTTGGCAATCGAATGGCACTCAAATCTTTCAAAGAGTTATCAACCAGCCATAGTCTCTCCACTCTTATCAGTCGTCGAAGGATACGGTGAAAGTTGTTTTGTTGGTAAGGGTCCCCAAGACCCTGATAAGACAGATTTATGTTCTGGAAATGAAAAGGGGTAAATCAGTCACAATTCTTTATTCTCTTTATATGACCTCTTTACCATATTGTAGATGATCAATGTTCAAGCTCACCTTTTTCTTATATATTGCAATCTCCCTTCTTTATGAAGATTTTATACACTAGCCATAAATAAACACACAAGGGGAAAAATGACTCTAGGCGAAATGAAAGTTTTATTATACTACCAAAAACAGCAATATATAATTTTCATTGGAATACATTATTTCTGTGAGAAATTGGAGATTTATCATATTCCCTAACAAGCTGCTAAAAGTTCCACTTCAGCTACTAAGAGAAAATTGTTTTTCTTTATAACAATCACAGCTTATGCTACAAGTCACTTGCACATAGTCAGTTATGGTTTGCTATTTGTTATGTATGAATTCATTGTAAGCAAGTTGCAATAAAGCTGCAGCCCTGTTGAGTTCCTGGGGCAGTCTGCAACACCTTGTTGGGCAAAGCTTTGCAACCTCTGTCTCCAACAGCGAAGGGAATCAGCCACCGAGGCACATAATACCAGCTGTATTGTCTCTAATGGGTTCAAGCTTTCAGAGATGTTAGACAACCTTTTATTTATATATATTTTTAAACAAATGTTAGATTGTGTTCAGACCAGCAAAAGCCAAGTTAAGTCTCTATGGAATGTTAAAACATGACAAAGTATCACTGGGAATGCACTGGTGATCATGTTTAGCAGACTGAAAACTTGCTAAGCCTGGTTGTCATATAACTGTGCCACACTTTTGATTTTTTCCGCATCAGCAGATACTGTCACCCAGAACTCTGGGTCCTTAATGGAGTCTTTCCTGTGTCACAGTGTGCCTGCTCTCACAAGTACAAAAATTACATTATTGAAACTTTATTGCATGGGAAATGTTACTCTGCTGCTTTAGAATTATTGTTTTTCTTTACTGTATTAGGCTTCAGAAAGACAGGGTTGCCTAAAAAATAAGTTCACCTTTTGCAAAAATTAAAGAAATGCATAATTAATAATATATTTAAAAAAAATATGCATTTCTTTAATATTATCTTATTATATTATCTTATTTAATATTTGCATTCAAGCCTGGAAAGCATTGTAATTGTGATCACTCAATCTTTTCCAGGCTTCTGCACATTCTCTCCCAGGCAGTGCTCGTACTGAGGTTCTCGGACCCCACTGGGCCCCCCCACAGCCTCAGGCCCCGGTGCCCCTGCACCGGCGGTAGTTCCGCCACTGCATACAAGCCTAAAGGCATAGTGAAGCTTTTACAAAAAAATAATAAATGCACACACATTAATAGAAGAAAATATGTGCATTTATAGTTTTTTTGCATTTTAACCTGCATAGCATTGCAATTGTGGTCAATGGATCCTGTACACTCTTCCCCCTTGCTAGGTATGGACCTTTAGTAACATGGATAGGAGTAACCATGAATGGACTACACATGCCCTGACATGAAAACACTTGTACTCCATTGAGAACTATGGGTCTCTCTGCTTTTGAGGCAGATTGGACTTGTAATATCTGTAAACGGATCTGTGAATTGTTGACGCAGCTGTGTTGGTTGTGCCCTGCAATTAAGGTAAGTGCGGGGGAAGGGGGGCAGGGTAGGTTGAGAACATTTTTTATTTTCTGCCCTAAATATGGGTGTAACATGAAGCATGGTCAGAAAGGTATAGTAAAAATAATATTCTTTCTGAATTAAACTTATGAAACTTATGTTAACAATATTATTATTATTGTTATTATTATTATGAACTGGAGTTATTTCTCTGCCACCAATCGACTTCAGATTTGAAATGAATGGTAGCTGTGGGAAAAAAACACCAAATCTCAACTCTTAGTAAAGACATATTGGCATATAATGTCCAATGTGACAT